GCAAACGAGTTAACTTTTAAATTTATTTCACTTTAATAATTTGTAATCGCTTGAAAAATTATAGGGTGAAATAAAATAACAAAACGAAGTTTTATCAAAGATGTTTCGAAGATGTATCATCGAAACTCCTTTATTGAAAATGGAAATAATATTTGATCTTTAAACATCTTAAGAAGGCGTACCAAAAAGCAACGCCTTGTTTAGGAATATACATGTTCAATATAAAGTCATGGTGAACAACAAACAAATTTCAATGCTATAAATGAAGCAGTTTTTAAGCCCACTATACAGTCGAGCAAACGTAAAGGCTTGGCTAACTCCTGCATAAAACAGCAGTTACACTAGTGCACCATGGTATTACTTTTTTTGTTCACACAATATGGCTTAAATAATAAATATTGCAACTTTGATTTATCTTATGACATATCACTAATCCTTTAGTATCCAAATCACAAACATTGATTACATGACCAGCCAATCGTATTACACTGTGATACAAGTGTATAAATATCGCTTGCAGCAGACGATAAATTACAGTTTACGTATCAATAGACGCAAATACACACACAGGATGAATCGTGCGTTCGTTTCAGTTGTGATATTCTTATCATTACACTTGTCAAGAGCTACACCTCTTGGTCATGTAACATCAAAGGATAATAAAGAAATGTATTTTAAAACAATGTTAGTTAATTACCAGGATGAAATTACGTCATTAAAAATCAATATTGCCGCTTTAGAAGAGAGAGTTACTAAATTAGAGACGGGAAAAGCTTCTCATGTAATGTTATCGAATCAAGTTGAAAATATTGGCGGTGGAATCAACGAGAATCATAAAATAAGTAAAAGGGGTAAGTTTTAGTACAATATTTATGTCATTTGCTATTTTTCTAGTAATCTTTTAGATAAAATCATTTAACGTTATAATCAATTTTCCTTAATATGTTTTACGTATCATTTCGCAATACACATTTTAAGTAAAATATAGCACACGATGAATAACAACACTAAGTGCTAGTTTACTATTGTCATTATATATTATTATAGACGTTCACAAAGAGTAACAAGTAAAATGGTTTCCTGCGGTGAACATTTTAATGATTTAAATATATTTCATTTAACTATTTTCAACATTATTTGGGGATGGGGGGATAAACAAACGTTTGTATCAGGAATATAGTTGACAATTGAATAGGAGAAGGTCTTTGGAAACTGGTGACCGTTGAAGACCGGAGAAAGTCGAACATAAAACAATTATTTCTTTTTAAGAAAATGATTAAATAGGCCTACCATTTTATGAATAATTCCGAGCAAAAAATAAATAAAGTAAACACACAAGTTTACGCAGAAAATATCTCTATTTATTATGGCAGATGCCACTACGAATATTTTAATTTTGTATATTTTCAGTATAAACAATTTATTGTTTGTAAAATTTGAGATAGATATAAAAGAAACATTGATAATTTTCAAAGGCATCATTCAAGTTTTTCCACCTTAAACGGTAAAATAATTATAGAAAATTAGAAATATCAAGCAATAGTTTTTTGTTCTTAATTATGTGTAATTCGGACTCACTCCCTACAGGTAAATCCGTAACGTACCGGCAAACGTTATTTAGCTAGGTTTTCGAAAAGGTCAATTAACCAATCATGTAGGGTTTACAGATCACATGCTCCTCCATGTACCGAAAACAGGTCACGTGCTCCTCCATGCCTCAAAAGTGAAATGCGTACCAATACCCTGCGGTCTCCAGACCGCAGGGAACAATTGTTTTTTTTAAATTGTACACAATGTTTGTGCCACGAAAACGGAAGTAAACAATACAGTAAAACAAATATTTACTTTCTTTTACAGCAATTTTCGGACGAAGGAAACCGGAAGTTGCATTTCATGCGACACTGACGAAACCTTCTGCTACGGTAAAAATGTTAGAGAATATAGTCTTCAACAATGTCATAACAAACATCGGCAATTCTTATAATCATCATACTGGGGTATTCACTGCACCTATACATGGAACTTATACGTTTAACACAGACATTGTTGCAGAAAGAGGACATTATGTTGAAGCAAGTATTGTACGTAATGGTAAAGTGGCTGTTTCAGCAATCAGTGATCATAGATTTTCACAAGATGGAAAGCATTTTACCACTTGGGATCAAGGAAACGCAGTCGCGATTTTAAGATTAAATAAAGGGGACAAAGTGGCCGTGACATTACAATGGCCTGAGGGAAGCCATGGTATACACGGTAGAGGAAAATCAAGTTTCTCTGGATATCTACTGAGATAAGAAAGCACTAAAGAAAACTTGAACTAGACTGAAGATTTATCAATAGATGGATGTTATTTATTACCTATGCAAAATAATAATTTATTGTTTACATTGCATGCATCGTTTAATAGTTTACATTGCATAATGATATAGCGTTTTTGACATGTTTTGGAAGATATACCTATGTTGTACTTTGATGGGTTACGTGCCAAACTATTGTAGCGTAGTTTATATAATTGCTTTGATTTATACATAATGTAATGAGTTTTATTGGAATAAACTTTGATATAAAGAAAGGAAGCTGTATCATTCATGTTATTTATTTGTAAAACATATTGTGTTTAATAAATGATAAGCTTGAATTAACGTATATGTTTGTGTTATATTTAAACCTCTAATTTATGAATTATGTCAAAATACAAGAGTTGAAAAAAACGATCGAATTTGTGATTTCATGATTATTGTTTTGCATGTTATCAATATAGTTCTAGTTAAAGACACGCGACACACACTCGTGCATTGAGATTAGTATTTTTATAAATATGGTAATATATGATGGCTTAAATGTTTGGTTAAGATTTCAAACAAGTTATTAAGTTCACAAAATGTTAGACAGTTTTTGTTTTAAAAAGTAATTTAAGCCTTAAACAAACAACAAACATCGTTCAATCTTAACCTTTAATACCCTTATCTAACGTGGGTCTATGTATTTCCTGTCTTTCTGAAAATATCTCGGCAACATAAATCTTAAAAAGCAAATAAGGAGAGCGGTGGCCTAGTGGTTAAGGTTTTTGCCTCTTCATCTCATTGTAGACTCCATCACTACTGGGTTCCTCATATGATACCAGTAGAGAAGCTTACTCGAGCATTGTTCAAATAAGATTCAAGCTTTATTTACAACCGAAGCTTAAACTAAAGTAGTGTATTTGTCCGTTCGACTTTGTTAATTAATTTTCTGTTAAAAAAATGAAGAAATAAATAAATAAATTAATTAATTAATTGAATTAATTAATTAATATATGGTTATACCAAATTTAAAATAAGACATCATAAAGTAGTTTTTTGGCACGGCTTACGCCGACATTGTCATCAAATACATTATACAGTCGTTACATATTAAAGTTGAAATAAAAATAGTTATTATGATCAACAAGAAGAAGAAACTTTGAAAAGGTGCCAAATGGGACACCGAACTGGTATATAAATTCTTTAAGATGGGACAAAGGAGTTCAATGTGTTGCCAATACATTAGAGCTAATTACCATAATATTGTCATTTTGCTATGATTTTGTGTAGTTCACAAACGATACATTTGTTTCGATAAAAACAACGAATGATGTATATTTAATTATATTATTCTGTTAAAATACGTTGTTATGTTGTTTTCATATTTATATACCCCTGAAGATGCGTCAACAGACCTAATTTTGCACTTTGTAAAACTAAAGTACACTTTTTATGCTTTTGACATGATGATTATGGCCTATTTGATTTTTACAGATTAGGATTTATTTGTTTTTACAGAGATTAACTGACCTTTGATGAGGCATTTATATTAATGACTAAGATATTCTTTTGTGACTACTATCATATCTCCAGAAACAGGAAATATTTTTATCTGCTTACACTCCTTATTGTCCTTTAAAAATGCAATCCACAAACTTGAATTAAAGTAATAAAACATGTTTATTTGGTTTACGCATTATTCGTAAAAGGTTCTTAAAAATGAAACAGAATCTCTTTTAATTTCAGCCGCATTTAATTTCCCGATGCTTCCAAATTAATGTCATTAATTGTTCCTATTTAAATGTACAGATTGAAGAAAGTTATTAAATAAAACAACAACAAATGTTACTTTTACCTCTTTCATTCAGGTGCGATGCAACTGGCGATAATTTTACACAGCTTTTGAATCATGTTAGCAAATCAGCTGGCAAACGCAAAATCTGAGAGGGAGAGTGAATTAAAAAAATGAGAAAATCCAAAATATTTTCCCAAAGGCAAAGCCTACTGCTATTATAAGAAAGTCAAACCACATCACACCTCTTGTTCCTGTAGTCACGCCCGGTATGTGGCTAAATTGTCGCCTGTTGGCTTTCCGATACTTTCTGAGTGTGAAACTGTCGTTCGTTGTTACCTTAGAAATATAAATACAATATAAAAGAATTTTCAACTGTGTCTTTGTTTGAAAGTTTGCGACCAAAAGCTGCACATGAGTATATCAATAATCACTGTCGATCTAATAAAGGTGTGTTGGATATTTGACAATAATCGGCGGTTTTCCGACCTCGTCGTCTTGCTTCTAAGTCGATGACTATTTTAAGGTAGCACAACCCTAATGGACACTATAAGGAACTGAAAAATTGACAGCATAGGACAGTTATATGCCTTATATGTCACCTTTATGCAAAATTAAAACACAATTTACCGTGTGGTTTATGAGTTATGGACATTTTTCTGAACTAGAACTGCGCAAGTTTTTTTTCAGAAATGAGGAAACTAAATCTATAATATCATTATTATGGAACATCTTTTCCAATTGCTCATTGTTAAGAAACAAATAAAGACATTCATGTAACAAATTAAACGATCAAAATGATTGTTTCTAAACAAAATGTTTTAAATTTGTATAAAAATATAACCATGCCCCACCCACTTTTAACACTTATTTGACCATTACCCTATGTAAAAAGCCTTATTCAAAATATCCCTTAAGTTTACCAAAATAAGGGACAGTTTTCAAAGTTTGCCAAAATTTTCTTAAATGTATATTGGTTTGTCTTGCAAAATAGAAAATACTTTTACCGTGTAGTTTTTATTTCATTAAACTTTGAAAATATCTGGTACCGTATTTGATGCCAGCACTATTGTGTGTTGAGAATTGAGTACCGCTCATGCCGGTGCTAGGGGTCGTGAGGGATGTTGCATGTATTCATTATCCCTCATGTACAGACTCAATCAAACCGAGTCTGTAATTCTCTTGTAATTTTGTTGTGATTAATGCTTCCGAGGGATCACTTTGTTTTCAGATTTTTATACTTCACAACAGCAGGTGTCAAGTGCTGTGTGGCAGCTGTAAAAAGTTGCCCCGTACTTCACTTCAGTGTTGTTATATTTTTCTGGTCCTTCGGGATCATTGATGCCAGCACTATTGTGTACCGCTCACGCCGGTGCTAGGGGGCGTGAGGGATGTTGCATGTATTCATTATCCCTCATGTACAGACTCAATCAAACCGAGTCTGCAATTCTCTTGTAATTTTGTTGTGATTAATGCTTCCGAGGGATCACTTTGTTTCCAGATTTTTGCCATTAAATTTGGCATTTTTTAGCAAATAAATACCTACAATAATTATATAATTAAAATCAAACACTTTTTTCTTCCATAAGGTATCTGAGAGATAAATAAAAAATGTTAAAAAGGAAAAAAAGAAAAAATGTTGCCCCTTCTGGGGCTTGAACCCACGCCCCTCAGTTTCAATGAACTTGACAGTGATTCTAGCCTATTTAAATACTCTTCAAACTAGAGATAACGCATTAGAGGTGTAATACCTTAAGACGTCTTGAAAGTCTTATAAGATTTAACATCGATATAAATAAAGTAATAGAATAATAAACAAAACAACTGGTATAATTCTTTTCATGTAATATGCTGAATTGTATGTCTTTGTAAAATCATTATCTTCCTTTCCTTCTTGATTCTTTCATTGTATCAATAAGTATTCTTATGTCGTTTTATCGTTTTTTTTCACATATAATTCTTTTATGACACAAATGACAAGAAAGGCACCAACTGTACGTCGACATTTACGTGCTAAATACTCAAATTTCCCGCGAAAAAGAACTTGTAATTCAACGAATTATATGATTAAATTCATATATCTTTTTGGAACAAAATGGATATAACAGAATCCCGGAAAGAACGCACAAAACGACAAAATTGAAGGTGAAGCAGGCTCGGTTTGATTAAGCCTGTTTATGGACAGTACTGTAAACGTGCAAATCACCGTTATGTTAAAGACTCGAACAATAGTATTAGTTAACAATTGAAATGTAAATGATACACTGAGTTACTTATGCCGCGATTGCTGTACAATAAAGTGTTACAATTGCATTACTATTCGATTGAATAAAATGTGAATCATTTGATTTGCTATCTACAGCGGTAATAAATTACAAGTAACTGTCTCATATTTCGATACTAATTGTTACAAGGTTATCTAATTAACACATACGAGATAAAAAAAAATTGGCAAACCATATTTTGGGGAGGGAGAAGAGATGGAAGGTCGAATTTTGATAGGGGTTTCAACAGAACCGCATATCTCGAGTTTAAGGTCAGTGTGTAAGGCTGTAATAGTTAAATATGCCGAGTTAACTACATTTATTGACAACATTTAGCAAGGACTTGCTATGAATAAACTGAAGCTGTTGAATCGAATATTCTGGTGGTTATTCTGATTGTTTATATTCCCAATATCATCTGGTAGACTTATATAGGAGATACTATGTAGCCACAGGACGAAAAATCCATTAGAAAAAAGTTTCTTTTTTTTCTAAATAAGTTTGTGTCATCATCGACGGACTTGTCAGAGATAAAAAAAATCTAGGAAGATAATTAGATCGATCGGCAACTTTAAGCGTACAATAACTGTTATATTGTTAACTTGTTCAAGGACCTCATCTTTTACTTGGTCGTTTTTATTGGATATTCATTTGATTTTTGACCTTTCTATAATAATCATTTAATGCATAATTACTGATAGCGGAAATGTGGTTTTTTCAGTTTATTACAACGGTACCTAATTCAGTATGTTCTTTAATTATAAAGAGCTCACCTTCTATCCTCTTTCTTGCGCATGAATGTGAAAGTATTGTGTGATAAATTTCTGAAATAAAACATGTGGGAAATACAAAAGAATCTTATTAAATTATTATTAGTAGTAGTATTATCAAAATAATCAAAGATCGTTTATTCATTGTATTCACAAATATAAACGCTGTGGAGAATTAAATAAAATTAATGCATGAATTATATGAGCTACAATTTTTATTACAAGGAAACAACCATTAAAATTGGAATGCTTTGTGACGAAAGAACAAGCAAAACATTTTATTTTTTCATCAGAAGTTAGTTTGGTTATTTATCAAAGTTTGCATGTTCGTGTCTAAAGCATTTTATTCGCATGACTCAACAGTTTCGGTTTGTTTCGGCCAAACGATCTAGAAATAATAAAATAATTTACCACAAAAAAGGTTATATTCTTTCCCTTTGCATAAATTTACCTGTCAATGCTTATTTCTATAGCTTGATTAGAGTGTTTGGTTGCAAATGTCATAAAGGTTATTCCACTTGAGTTGCTTCCAATTTTTAACAATAAAAATATTACTGCTATTTAATAAACTACAATGAAGGCGGAAATATTATACAACATACAACGTGCATATAGCATGCTTCTATTTATGTACTCTTTTCATGACATGCATTTTTATTTTTCAAATATTTAATACTAATGTGCATGAAAGTAAATTCATAAAGATCGTATCAATCAAATCCTTCACTATATATGTTTTGTTCCATTCTGAACATTAGCTGTATTTTACAACAAAACAATCAAACTTAGCACACACCTTGATGAAGGAGATAATATAATCATAATGGTATAAGAAATGTTAACAATTTTTTAAATGTATGATATGTAAAGAGTAGCAAAATAGCTTGAATTGTTGCAATCGAACACAGGTTCGTAAGCTCTAGGTTACGGATATATGTGTTATTATAAAGAAATTTGTTTTTAAATTTTCATTTTTACACGAATTGTTAGGGCTTACTGTTGGGGTGTTTAGGCAAGATGAATTTATAAACGTTATTCTCACAAAAGTATAAAGTGTTATTATCGATAGAAACAACAATAAAACAGCATTTTCTCATATAAGTTTGGGTTGTCATGTTTTCTAAGTTAATCTGAGGGTTTAACTGTATGACAGATATTTGTTTACATTGACAACTGTCTGTTTTTAGAAAGGGCGACATCCAAGGTTAGCGACCATGTCTAAACGCCGTATGGGTATGATCGTTTATAGGAATTAAGGTTGCTGCTCGCCATTATGCGATATTGGCCCTCAAGTCGCGGTCTTGAGGCCATTATGCACATCTTCGGGCCATTATCGCATAATGGCGAGTAGCAACCGAGTATTTACCTATTATTTTCTTGGTAATCATAATGGAAAGTTGATGTGCTAGTTCGACTCTAAATTTTCTAAATGTACTAAAGATAGCAATAGTTTTTCTGTGTACAATTGAAACACAGTTTTACTAATAAGATATAAAATTTAATAACGTGACTAATGTACTTTTACATTCAAGTCAATTAAATATGAAAAATATATGAATTACTTTACAAATATTACTTTTATTGGCTAACAACTAAAGGTTCTTATTATGAAACACAGGATATATTAATAATATAAAATATATTTTGTCACTTTTATGGTTACAAAAATGTGGTTATAAATATAAATGCTTTAAGTCAAACGAATATAATTTTCATGTGAATATTTGAATAATGTCATAAAGCAATATAATGTCGAGCTGCTGGACGAAAAATAAGAACAATGGTCATTCTTCACAGTTATACGTACACCAAATAACAATTGCATTTCTATTTACTTTTGACGTTTTGCATTATTCTTTTGTATGTGTTTTATAAATGTATTTTTTATATCAGAACAAAACAGGAACGACATTTCAAAACATTAACTTAATTGTTTCAACGAAAAATTGTACTTCTACATTTATTATGTGTTTCTTCCTCATAACATCCTCGTATATTCAAAACAACAATCTCGAAAATACCTATGATTAAATTAATTCTGGAATTAACCTACCTATCTTTCAGACGCTCAAATGTCCAATTCAAAACTGATACACATAATGAGAGGGAAGTTTTGAAGCTGGAATGTAACGAACGTATTATGTGATCGAATGTTGATATATAATAAGTGTAATGTTTTTCATTCAGAAAATAGGGTTTGTTTCAATATTACCCAAATGGGTCTAGTTCTAGTGGCAAAAATCCCCCCAAAAACACTTGGGTTTATTCTCATCTAACAATTGTCAATGGCACTCACATATTAAATATATTACAAGTGATAATGCATGGAAACGGGTAAACATAATGAGACAATTTAATGTGTATTAGATTGTAAATCTTTAGAAGTAATTTATAAGTCGTGTACAAGTCCAATTCTTGAATATGCAGACGTCGTAAGGGAAACTGTATTTCAAAATGTACTTGAACTTTTAGACAAAATACAAAACGAATTTACTAGAATAGTATCGGGTGCAACAATGCTTATTTCTATAGAAAATATTAAAAATGAAGTCAGTAGGGAAACATTAGAGCAAAGACGTCATAACCACAGATTTATTTTGTTTTACAAAATTAAATACGGCATAGCACCTAAATATACCACGCTTTGCATATACCAGATCCCACAAACACTCGCTACAACTTAAGGAACTCAAATGACACAAGCGGTATATCAGCCAGAACTTAAATTCTTTCTTCAACTGCCATTCGTGAGTGAAACAACCTACCCCTTTACATACGAAAGTTGTACAACGAAATAAGCAATCTACCAATTATGATGAAACGTTAAATATTGCATGCATGATTACGCACAAAATGCAGCTTCTTTAGTAAAAACTCTCTTTCACCGTTATGTGAGTGCGGGCAAACGGAAGGTAATTCCTACTTTTATTTTGAATGCCGACATGTTAACATACAGACAAAAGCTATTTCAAAGTCTTATTTCAACATTACTCTTACTACTATTCTCTTTGGCAACCCAGATATCCCTAATACAGATAATGCTACTATTTTCAAGCATGTTTTTTATTTTACATACCCGAAACAAAACGATTTCTCTGATCTAATTGTGATACAACCATTCTATCCTTCTCCTAACTAGACAAATTTTACTACTTAATTAATGTTTTTGTTAGCTACAACATCACATATAATCATTACATTTCAGTCATTTTTATTGATATATAGTTTTATACTTTTTAAGCATTTTCGCAACTTTAATTTTCCCGAAATATTTATATTCTCGATTTGTCAGATTATCATACCTTTTGAAAGGGTACAAAACTCGACACATTATAGAAATACACTAAAAAATAGAAGAATTTTATAAGCTTATTCTTTTCTTGAATATTAAAGTGTTTGATTTATATTGTTTATGCATATATATAAATTTATATTTTTGGGAAATTAATATGTTTAAACTTAAAATTCCAAATAGGACCGTCTTCAAATAGCAGATTACTCTCAAAAAGTGAAGTATTTTTATCAAGAAACTATTTTTTTTAAAGAACTTCTTCTTTTAAGAATGTTTGATTCGTTGTTGAATGTGCACAAAGTGGGGGGATGTTACAGAATAAGACAGCTTTATGCTTAAGTAAAAAGTAAAAGTGCGGCCACGATTGTATTTCATTTAAGAAGTAGCCAGAGATTATTTGTTAAATGATTACTTAAATTATTCTTGAATGTTCATGATTGTTGCTTGGTCACACGTTTTATACAATATTTACATATATGCATGTACACGCATGAATGTAATGATTTGTTTCTTAACATTCAGCAATGGGAAAACATTTTACATAATGATGATAATATAAATTATTAAGAGTTTCCTCATTTCTGAAATGCAATGTTTTAGGTAAACCCATAACTATTAAACCACATGGTAAAGTTTATTTAAATTTTGCATACAGGTGACCTTTAAAGCATATAACTGTCCTATGTTGTCAATTTTACAGTTCCTTATAGTGCCCATTAACCATGGTCTACCTTTAAAACATGAAGCTTACTTCAATTACTCCCGAGAATGGGTCTTATACGAGGGGAAGTCAGAAAATATCCGGACTTTTGACTCGTTCTCGAAAACCATTTAACATTTAAAAAAAAAATTCTATTCTTTTTCACAATATTCTCCACCTACGTCTACGCCCTTTTGCCATCTTCGTGGGAGCTTTTGTATTCCCGCTGTTACGTAGACCTATGTTTTAGGTACTGTGTAACAGTAGATATAAATGCCGCCCTGGTCTTATATTTCTTTCCAGCAAGCATTTTTTTCAGTTCTGGAAACACATAAAAGTCACAGGGAGCGAGGTCTGGGCTATAAGGAGGGTGAGACAACAATTGCCATTTGTAAGAGTTGATAACCTCCACTGTAGCTGCGGCGGTATGGGAGGGAGCGTTATCGTGAAGAAGGAGGACATTTTTCTGTGCTTACCTGGGACGCATTTGCTTCAGCTTTTCTCTGAGATTTTTCAGAATTACTTCAGAATAGTACTTGGCGGTGACAGTTTGACCTTTTGGCATGAAAAGAGTAAGTATCATTTCTCGTGAATCCCAAAAGGCAACAAGCATGACTTTGCCAGCCAAAGGAGACAGCTTAAACTTTTTAGGAGGTGGGGAACCAGCTCGTTTCCACTGCTTTGACTGAGCTTTTGTCTCAGGTTCGGAATAATGAACACACATCTCATCTCCAGTGATAATGCGGTTCAAAAACTTATCTCCTTCACGATTAAAACGACTTAATGTTCTTTTGCATTGGTTACTCTGGTTGCCTTTTGATCTGCGGACAGCTGTCTAGGCACCCACCTGGCACTTACTTTGCTCATGCCTAGGCGTTCGTGTAAAATATTGTGTGCCGATGCCTTACCGATACTAAACTTGTTGGCTACCTCTTCCAAAATTACTCGACGATTTTTGTTGACAAAAGCTTTAACATTTGCTACCATTGTTAGGGTCACCGCCTCAGCTGGTCGCCCAGTTCTAGGCCTATCACAAACACTTGTTCTGCCTTCACGAAACTGAG